TGACCCGACCTGAACGCGTGCAATCCGGGAGACCAAGACTCGTAAAGCAGGACCGAGTTCTGAACATTCCGCTGACAAGTGGAGCCGGCAGCCGAGTGGCTAGCGCGCTGTGGTGCGGTCCGGCAGCCGTCGGCCCTGGGGTCGAGTCCTAGTCGGGGCGAACATTTTGATTATTTATTTTTGGCAAGGGGGGGGGGCTGCTACGTAGGCGGTCAAGTCCACCTCCCCATGTCGGCTGGTCTTTGGTCCTAACCCTTGGTCCCCGCACAACAAACTACTAAACGGGAAAAAATGAGCCTCGATCAGTATTCGAACCCACGACCATCCGCGTTCCGGGCGCGCGCTCTACCAACTGAGCCAGTGATGAGGCTTTTGCATAAGTGAAGCTTATCTGCCCTTTGGCTCACACCCCGAAACATATGGCTGGCATAGGGGCAAAAGGGTTCCGTCGACTGGATTTGAACCAGCGACTGTTTGCGTACCGGCCCATCACATCAGGTGTCGCACGGCTGTCTGTAAAGTCATGGTCAGTTCGGCGCGAAAAATATCACCGGGACGGGATTCGAACACGCGAGTAGATGCCGGGCCCGAACGCTACCGACTTAGCCACGAAGGAACGATAGCTAGTTGAGTTCCCGGTGAGAATCCCATCTCAGCTGCCGCTGACGCCCGAAGACAGATGGCCAGCAGAACGGGGGAAATGTGCCGCGGACGGGACTCGGATTACCAACCAATCCTCTGCCAACCAACAACGCTTTAGAACGCCCGACTGATGTTCATGTGTGTAATGCGGGGTGGCCTACCTTGAGTCTCGCAGGCGCCGAGCTACAGTATTTTGCCGAATGCATCCGGGAAATAGTTTCCGTTGCGGTTACAAGAGTGAATTTTTGCGGAAAGATAAGGCCAGACACGGAAGATGTCCCACCGTGGACCAGGACTCTTTCGTAATTAAAACAACACGTCCATAGCCCTGCGTCCTTCCAGGCCTTCTAGATCGTCTGGGCTCGCCCGCCGGGCTCCGTCATTTCCGTACGGATGACACTGCTCCGCGCTCCAGCGCCCCCGACCTGGAGCGGCGCCCCGAGCCCGGCCGCCTATAAAGTGTTGTGTCCTGACCCTTGGAAGACACTCCAATATGGACTCCTCTCGGGTAAGTGACGAGGTACTGGCAAGGCGAAGGATTTAGATCGCCCACAGAAGTTAGAAATTCATTTCAAATCGACATCGAAAAGATGTCGAAACGGTGTCGCAGTCGTCGTGAGTGACACTCACGATACGATATCGTTTCAACATTCCGACCCGACAATCTAATTTCTCACCGGACTGCTGTCCTACATGTCACGCAGGCTGTTCGAGCGTTCGCGGCCGCGGCCTTGCCCCTGCTGTGCGTCCTCGGCGCCGCGCTCGCGGACACCGACAAGGCCAAGAGCATCTCCGATGCGCTGGTGAGTATGGTGCATCGTAAGAGTGTTTTTGTGTGCCGGTCGGCACAGACGGTGACACAGAGGCCCATCACAGCCACTACCCGCGACGTGGGCGGCGTAGTTGGTTTACTGGCGCAATGCCAAGCGGCAGCTGAGAGCGAAACTCGTGGGTGTTTGTGCTATACGGCATACCAACCACGCTGTGCCGGAATGTCTACTAAAAAATACACCTTGTGCTAGCCGCGCCACCCGAGTGACCCCGTGCCCTTCGCGCGCCCACGTACGCTCCTAACGTGACCCTCCCCTCAGGCGGACGCGGACCGCTACGCGGGCGGCTACAACGACGCGTACGTCGCCAACGCCTGGGAGCGGGCCGTCGACGGCTGGGTGCGCGGCGGGTACACGCTCGTCTCCGGCGACGTGCACACGGACGTGCGCTACGTCGTGGACCCCAGCGGCGAGATGCGCGTCATGGCCCGCCGACCGGGGGCGACGGTGCCCGCGGCGGCGCAGCAGGCCGCCGACGCGTCCAGGGTGTCGTCCGCCACCACGACCACGACGGTGCACCACCAGCTGGGCAGGCCGCTGCTCGGCGGCTACCGGCCGCCTTTCTACCAGAGGCTCATCCGCCTGGGCAGCCTCCACGACGTCGACGACGAGCCCTTTGATGACGTCGACCTGGATCTGGACGACGACCCTGTTGACGACGACGATCCCTTCTTCTTCGACGTCGTCCCGGACAACTGGAACGACGCTCGTCCCGTGGACGAATGGGTTCGTCTGGTTCAGGTACGGGCAGCTGCTCATATTCCGGCGCCTCAGTTTGGTCTTCCCTCCAGCCTGACTTGAACCACCACCGTCGCGATGTTCTTGTTTATTCTCAAACATTTCCCCTCATGCCCCACAGGACGGCGGCATGCGCCGAGGACCTGACGTCGCCCACGGTCGGCGCTACTTCATCCCGCCGCAAGCCCCTAGTGGGCCCGAGGCGCCACCGACGTACCCCCCATCCAGCACGCCTGCTGCCGAGGCGGAGGCGATCACGACGGCGGGGCCCGTCGAGGACGCGGTGGGCGCCGCGAGCTTCCAGTCGGGACACTACAACGTAGTGCTCAGGACTTCCAAGGCGTGAACGCACTCCAACTTCGTGCCCTCCCACCCCCCCATCCCCGTGCCATCGTGCCATCCTGGGGCGCCGACCTAGTGCTCAGTGCGCCGCGGAAACTGATTGAAAGTAGATGTTCCAAAAACAAACACACTCATAATGAAATAAATGAAAGCGCTTTAATTTATGATAAATACTTTATTACTACCTAATATATCACACCGGGACTTATGTACAACGGAATGGGACAAGCCACAACTGAACAGCCCCAAAATACTATGCCGATCCTCTCTGAAATCTTTACGACGTATTCAGATCAGGCAATTATCGAAGTGGTGGCCCCCTCAAAACAACGATACAACAAAGACTTTGAGAACTATAACTACTGTACAAGATTTCCACCAATATTTAGTGTCCTCCTTTTTTTTTTGAAAATGTTTTGCCAAAATAGCGTAATCAGACGTCGCAGCGCATCCTGGTGACGCGGACTCTCCTTTTGTTATTCTTTCTTATCGGGCGCGCCAATCTTGACCGTGGTGGTGTGCGATGCTGCGCAGTGGCTCGTTGCCGAAGCACGAGCCGCGAGTGACTAGGCGATGCCGGTCACGCTCGTGACGCCTGGCCGGGGCACAGTGTGCCTGGCACACCACGGTGCGGCGCTCGCGCCCCCGTGGTGCAACAGCGTATGCCTCCGGCTGCACCGGCATTACCAAATAGCACTGTGCAGTGTCCATCATCTGCCAACGCCAGGGCCGCGCGCAGGGCCCTCTGCTGCTGCTCAGGTGGGGTCAGAGCGACCGCCGCTCGCCCCGGGATCAGCTCGCCTGCACGGCCGCGACCAGCTCGGGCCTGCCGACTACCAGCCAGACGAGCACGGCCCAGCACGCCCGCAGCACGAGGTAGGCGCTGGCGGCGCGGACGGCCTGGTGCAGGTACCAGAATCTGAAAAGGACATAGTGTGGCTTCAGTTTCCTGCCTCGCTCGGTGTTATATTTCCGTTTTTCACGGCAGCCCTGTCTCATTTTAAGCTAAGATTAACGATAAAAGTTGTGTTCTGACACCATTCCACATCGGGGGCACTCGTCTCACCTCCTGCGTCGGGCCAAGCCTTGGGGAATGGTGGTGGGGTTCTCCTTGAACATAAAGATGCGCATGCCCTTGGTGTAGTCGCCGAGGTACTTGAACCAATCGATCTGCGTGATGTCGAAGGCGAAGAGCTCCTGATCCTTGGGGCTCAGTCGTCGCCAGAGGTTTTTCGTGTGGTGGTTTTTAAAGTACCACTCACGCAAGCCAAAGTACGCAATCACTTCAGAAAATTTGTAGATCTTTTTGTAAACAGGTATCGCTCTGGAAGAAGAAAATACAAATATATAGGCAAATAAGCTTGTTTCCTTCAGACAAAATAAAATAACTGATGACGTAAAGCACGTGGGGATCTTTACCTGAATTTGTTGCCAATAGCAACGCACACGATGTCGACGAGGAGGGCAGGGAGGAAGTGAAGAAGACCGATTAGAAACAAATAGGCCCACCTCCCGGGGACCAAGGACAGGCAGTAGATCCACACGGCCTGGTTGACGGGCATCCGGTCTCCGTAGTACGAGGTGTGCTGCATGAAAAGGTCCCATGTCAAGGGGTTGTCGGTGGACGAGATGTAGTTGTAGATGGGCACGCCGTCCACCTCGGCGGCGCGCTCTTCCGGTCTGAAAGTGCGAGAAGGAGACGACATCACACACCGCGGACCACGCGCAGCACATCGCACAGCACGAAAGACACTCGGACCGACACTCACGTGAGGGAGGCCGTCTCCCAGGCGGAGGCGAGGAGGGCGTTGCAGGCCATGTCGACGGGCACCAGGTCCGCCAGCTTCTTGCCGTCCACGTTGAGCACGCGCATCAGGCCTCCGCCCGAGGCGAGCACCACGCCGCCGGGGCCGTACAGGTTGTCGATCCAGCCGGGCAAGGGCTCGCTCGCGGAGTTGACCACTGCAACAGGAAGCAGGGGCCGGTGAGTGGGCAGGCCCATCGGACGTGCGTGCCGAGCGCAGCAGCGCAGCGCAGCACAGCGCAGAGGACAAAACGCACGACAGACTCACCGATGGACGGCCTGAAGATGCCGACGGGCAGGGCGCCGCGATGCATTTTTATGACGCTCTCACCCACGGCCTTGGTGAAGGAATACGAGTTGGGCCAGTCGCCGAGCATCCTGGTAGGATAAAGGAGCACAGGTCAGTGCGCGCAGAGGGGTCCCTTACTATAAATGCAAGCGTATACCGATTTCTCTGTTTTTCTTGATGAATTTCCTCCCCGATTTTTCAGATTTATTTCTAACCCTCTCTGATTTTGTTCTTATGGTTTCAGATTGTTTAAATTGCATTTTCCTCCATTTTTTTTTCTGATTGTCCCTGATTTTCCTGAGTGAAATGCCCATCGTGGCGGCCCGAGCGCCTGTGAGGTAGGCACCCCCGCCTCGGCCGCGTGCTCGACAGGCAGGCCTACGCTCCAGGCGCTCCGCCGGCTCTGGATACTCACGCTGGGGTCAGGGCCTCGATGAGCTTCGGGTCGCCCCCGGTCGCGTCGGAGAGCCGCATGACGCGCTCGCAGTCCAAGGGCATGTCGTATATCTCCTCGCCGATGTGCTGCTTGGGGCAGTTGGCGTACGCCGTGGACACGTGCATGAAGACCCTGAGGTCCTTCATCTCCTTGCACAGGTCCACGACGCACTTGGTGCCGCGGACGTTGATGTTGACGGCCACGTTGAGGACCTCGTCGAAGCGCACCGTCGCGGCGCAGTGGAAGACGATGTTGACCTTGTCGGCGAGCGTGACGCGGTCCTCGGCGGACAGGCCCAGGCCGGGCTCGCCCACGTCTCCGGACACGGCATGCAGGTGGTGCCGGAACTTGGGCCGCTCCTCGCGGAGCCGTTCAAACATCTGAAATCATCCGGGAAAATACCGTGAACACGGAGTTTGCCGTTCTGAGCCCTGATACGGCCTGATCTAAAAACTTGCAGTGCATCCGGGATAGCCGCCGAGAAATCCCATCCTCGCGACAAGAGAATTCGCTGGTTGTCATACAATGTAAAGCTCTTGCATTTGAGCAAGAACATTTGAGCGGCAAAGGACTTGGGAATTTACTTGTGACAAGAAAGGGACTTTTCCGATGCAAAAACAGTGCTATCTAGAAATTTTCCTAAAAATGCACTAAGAGTTGGTATTTCCCAATTCGTTAAATTGTGATGCCAAACACTACAAAATGGGCAATTAGACTGCTGTTATGCCGAGGAGTATACCTCGCGAAACACATTACGATACCACGACGGAGCGAGCGCTCATTGTATTCCTATGAGCCGACTAGCGCCGTATCGGCAAGTGTAATTTTGAAGGGTAAATTTCTGCGCAAAAAATAAAACAGCAACAGACGGTGTGGCCGTCGAGAAGGAGCCGCCTACCAAGGGGCGATGCGGGAGCGGGGGGAAGTGGGAGTGCAGGAGGGAAGGGGGGAATCTGCGCAGACTGGACAATGGACCAACAAGAGTATAGCCGATCACTCCTCTGAAGAGAAAGACGCTGACGCACGCGCGTACAATTATCGTATCATTATCAACCTACCGCACTGTACCAGTACCATTTCACCCGCGAGGAGCTCGCAGCAAAACGGCACGTGTCGGCACGCTCTGGAAAGTTTGTTGTGTGATTTTTCTTTTCTTTTTTTAGCGAGCGATGTAAACAAATCACAACGCGCCCGGGCTATACCAAAGCATTCTTTTGGCTATCAGACACAACAAATTGGACACCGTGACACACATTTCTGATTGTCTACTTTCTTGTCAGACTTTCTGGCGGGCGCCGCCGGTGTGGCGGTCGGTCAGGTCTTCCCCCGGGCGAGCCGCTATATCAACACTCTGCGCCCGCCCAGCGCCCCCGCCGCTCTGCCCGGCTCTGCCCCCGGGCGACAAGCAGCCGTGTCTGTTTTGGGGAGTTTCTTCTCTATTGTTATGTGTGTGTTGGTGAGCCCGTCATTAGCCCTCGGAATGAAACCAAACAAACATTCTAATCATCTTCCGTATTTTTTCCCCTCCCGCACAAACTGCCGTTAAACTTCCACCTCCACCTCCGCTCATAATTTGCGTCGGGGAAAAAAATGGTTACCTCAAACGGCAAAGTTTTGCAGTACAGAGTGGCGCGGCGGGTGACAGAAATAAACACATAGTAATCTTCTTACCGGGCTGTCGAAGATGGTGTCGAGTCGCTGCTCGGGCTGCTGGCCCTTCTTGGTCCGGATGAGCATGTAGATGGTGCCCACTTCATGGCACGTGTACAGCAGCTTCTCCAGAAGCACCTTGCCCATGAACCCCGTGGCGCCGGTGATCAGGATGTTCTGCCCCTTGTAGAAGTTGACCAGGTCGCTCTGGGCGGGCGACGCCAGGTTGGCGGCGTTCTTCTCCAGGACTGGCGGCGTGATCTGCTGGCTGGGCGGCATGTCGACGGCGGAGGTGTGGAAGGCGCTTCACCGGCGTAAAGTTTCTGCGGGAACAGCAAAAAAAGAGGGTGTTAAACAAAACAAAAAACAAAGTTAGAGGCTTGGGCAATCTATTGATCACGTCGTTGACGTGGTTGGTAAAAAAACAAGAGCCCCGAACAATGTCGCCATGAGGCACCCCGGGCGTGCGCCAAGAGTAAGAAAAGAAGGAAGCACGGCCAGACACAGAGGGGTCGACTAGTCGCGTCCTCTTGTCTGTACAAGGTTAGTTAGACGTACTCCGTAGGTATTCTGCGCACTCCGTGTGTCATCCGAGTACCGGGCGTGTGTAAATACACAGCAGTGTTGCGGGATGGCATAGTCAATATGGCCGCAGGGGACATGGCCCCTTACGGGTGTGAAGAGTAGGCAAACCCGCAACACTGCTGCGTGTTCATAGGTACACCCGGTACATCGACCCTGCTGCCCGTGAAATTTGACTGTACGCCGGGTGTGCCCCAGTGACTCCAGCGGCTTCGACTCCCCTGCGTACAGGAAAGACCGGGTTGTCGACCCATTCGCCAAAAACATTGTATACCTGCAGGCACTCGTTCGCTGATCACAAATATATTTTTTTAACTTGTTTGTATTAAAATGAGTTTGTTGCTGTTGTTATGTAGCTGGGTGATGTTTTAGTCCCCAAATCTTTGCTGGGTTCTCTCACGAGCAGCGGCTCCCATGCCTCTCATGCCTCAGCAGCAGCAGTAAGGTACAAAAGCAGCCGCCACCTGGAGAGTGTTTCTGGGCGACTCTAATAAAGAATGGTGTGGGCATTGCGCACCTCTTCCCGTTGGTCTCCATGGGGTCCCCATCCAAACTCCGGGTTCGGCGGCGACAAGGTCACGCGGACCCAAAGCTCGTATGGGACGGCGTATGATGACCTTCGACCGTTTATAGTGTCACGCAGCGAGAAGGGAGTGTGTTCCAGCTCCCGCCGAGTCAACAAATGTCAGTGGGAGGGAAGAGGAAGCGAAGAGAGAGAGAGCCGTCTCGCTAAAACTTAAACAAACTCAAATCTCTTGTGTTCTTTGGCGGCCCAGGCTGACTAGGGTTCAATCCCATGCAATTCAGATACACTCTCAGGGGGCACGTAAAGGTTATTCGGGACGAATGCAATTACTCCCGTTTACATGCAATCTCCGCGTGAGGGACACGACCCCACGTTTTTGTTCTACTTGTTATGCAGTCCAACTTTTATATGGTTGTGAAGGTGGCGTATGATTTTTTTTTGAGAACACAAGAGCAGGGGGGGGGGGACTATATGTTCGGAACAGAACACATGGATGACTTCATTCCGTTCCAGTCACAAAACTCCTCCGGAAATTACTGCCAATTCATACCGTTGAAGAAAAATAAAAATATTGGAACAACAAATATTAACATAGAGCTGTCCGTGGACGAGTTTTCCCGAAATGAAGCCTCCTTCTTCTTCTTCCTCGCCCGAGCTGGTCAGACGCGTGTGACATTCTATACGAGTCGCATGACTTGACTAGACAAGTGGCGGGACCGGACGGAGGGACCCACGCATGGCGTGGCGGGGCGTAGCGTGGCGTGCCGGTGCGTCGCGGGGCGTGGCGGGGCGTGGCGGGGCGTGGCGTGGCGGGGCGTGGCGGGGCGTGGTGCGGTAGCGGGGGCCGGACTCACGCTACCGTAACCGATCAGTTAGCTCATTGTGTCCCCATGGATTGGATTGGTTCATCTCTGACGCACTCTCTTTCTCTCTCACTCTCGCACGCCGAGGCTCATCATTGCCTGGCAGCATCCCCGGAGGGCGTGCTGTAACGTCTATAGGGTAACGGGACACAGGTCAATCAAAACAACACGAACCAGATTTGGAAGTAAATTAAAAAGACTAAATTGAAAAATGCCATTTTTTTTTCAAACTTCACATGGGTGCCACACTAGTGAAGTCCATCGCTGAAAAGATTATGGAATCCTTATGAATTATTGGTGTGCATTGCAGCATTGGCAACATTAGTACGCAAGCCTACGAAGAATTAGTTTGCAATGCAATGCTTGCAAATTCTATGCCGCAAAGATCCAAAGAATGTAATTTGCATTGCGAACCTGTTCATCGCGAACATTTTCTAGTGCAAACACTGATGCCAAAAGTATGCAACTTTCATGCACATGATAGCGTTCAACGGCATTATGTACACATTTAGAAGTTGACTGAACTGAAAATGTAAATACTTAAAAATGTTGAACAGTGGCACGGGGCCTTTCGGATTACAGCTGATAAACCTATTCCACCTTAATCAGCAAATCGGCGACCGTGAGACCGTGTGAACGGCCCACGACCCCAACCTTTTTGTAAGACACTCTATACAAAAGGGTTTTTTGGGGGATTTGCTCTCTTGTCCCCCGCGTGACACTCGTGACACTGCCTCTTATTTACGGAAGTGGGATATATGCAGCTATATAGTGGGCGTTGCACTGACGCTCTGCACACACACACGCACGCACCGCCCCCCGCGCCACACTAGGAATGGGTGACGCATTCCGACCACTGACCCCCCCAGCAGAGCCATTCGGCGGCGAAAAAACCCCACACGAAGCGCACACGGACCAGAAAACCGGCTCGGCCCACCCCGCGAAAAGATGAGCCCCTCGTGGCGGGGCGGGGCGTGGTGGGGCGGGGTGGGGTATGGCGTGGCGGAGCGGGGTGGGGTAGAGCGTGGCGGGGTGGGGTCGCCGGCCGCCCCATTCCGATGGCCTTGAATGGTGTGCGACGCACCGTGCGTTACGCGGCCGGGGCTGCCCGCCGCTGCCTCCAACCCCTCCGCGACAGTATCCCATTAGCTGGGAATTACTCCCGCGACAGCACTGGCCGCATCACAACCGAAAGCAACCGACAAAGTCACTCGCACGCCACGCCACGCCGGCCGCAGCGCCGGCCCGGCCCCGGTGTGTGGTGTTCTTCCACCGCAACGCACTGACCGCTGCAACCGCTGCAACCGCTGCAACCGCTGCAGAGCTTGCGGTGTGTCCCCTTCCTCCCTGGCTGTGTGGCCCTTATCAACCGCCTCCCGGGGCGCTATCGAGGGGTTGCTTGCTAATGACGGTGGAAGCGTCTGGCACTCCTCCGCGGCCCTATCTCCCTCTCGTGTGCCCCGTCTATCTGTGTCCCTCTTGCTCTGGCTTAACGCCTCGCATGTAAACACGACACTGCGACAAACTAAAAGTGTATCTGCGGGGAGTTTGGCAACATTTTTGCGAGGCGTGGGAAACTAAAGGGATTAACCCCGAACGGTACACTACTACACAGTGCACTAGACAGTCTACCGGTAGGCAAAGCCCCCCCCCCCCCATTCCTCCTATGTTTTCCTGGTTATACTGTGCCAGATTCAGGCAAGCGGGTAGGCTTGCTTGCATCGCCGTGGTGACTCACGGCCCCGTGCGAGTATGCAACCCGTCCGCACGTCTGTATTCGGTACAGTATACTCCGAAAACAAAAAGAACGGCGCAGACCACGCACCTTGTAAATGTACACTCCACAACTTGAGCATGCGTCGGGCCAAACGCTAAAAGTGACTGCTTGGGTTTCAAGCAAAAATGGCAAATTTCAAACAAAATGTGCTTGGAAACCAAGCAGTCACTTTAAGCGTGGCACGCGCCATGCACAAGAAAGGTGGCAGACGGTTTGGTCAGTGTGGAAGTGTCGAACTGGACGGCACCTCGGCTTCTTGCGGGGCTGAGCGGGAGTTGCAACACCCTTATTATTCGTTGTGTGACTAAAAGAGTGTAAGGAAGCCGCGGGAGGGGGACGAAAGGTCACGTGACTTTAGATGCAAAGCGATGCGCTGTTGAGCGCATGAGGGCTGACGAGAACGGCTGACAACGCCGACACCACTTCCTCGCCCCCTGACCTGCCCGAACGCAACACTCAATACACGCAGTGGAATCGAAGGACATGGTGCGGCCAAAGAGGTTCCGCCGAGGAAAAATAAATCGCGGAGGAAGGCTTCCCAGACCACGGCGGGGGTTCGTGCTCCACGTGGTATGAGGTGCCGGAGTAGGAGGCAAGGCGTTGCGAGGTGGGGTGGGGTGAGGTTGGGGGGTCGGGGGGTCGAGG